ACAAAAATATTATAATATACGCGTAAACGAATGAAAATAATTCATCTCACGTTTGTGTTTATAATATATATACCCAAAATTCAAATATTACGTCAATTACAACGCCTATATTGTCTAACGCAACTATGTAAATTTTGGAATACGACGTTGTTGTTCGTTGGTACCTTCATTCGTCATGTCGACGAGAGACCAAAAAGAAAAAACCAGAAAAAAAGGAAAGAAATATCGGTGCAGATATTCATCCAGGAAAAGAATGAGAATGACGACGACGACAACGACGACGAGGGTGGTTTAGGCTGAGTGTAACTGAGAAGTTAACACGATAATCATCTGAAATGTTAAAGATTTTCAAAACGGGGGTTGAAATACAGATATCACCCACCCACGTTGAAAATACAAACATCTATTCTCTCTTTTGGGTTATTTCGAACAAAAAGGAACAAAAATACGACAACCACCACTGCGTTCCTTGCATCCCGCTTCCCCTCTTTCCCACCCCAGGAATTAATATTCAACCGTCGTGCAGAAATCGCCCACTGAGTTCTCGATAGTCTCAACGAAAGAAAGAATTTCTGGTATTCGGTACGCACGACTAAAGTCGTACGCCTGTGCGTGGGTGGTAACAGGGGAACTTCTTGAAAGCTGCTTGTAGGAGCCCCCAAACTACCGAAACGTTATCCAATTACAAAATATAAATTTTCGATGAAATGCGGAAAAAAAAAAAGTAAAAAAACACAACAACAACAAGAATAATAATCGGAATAAAATAAAAGAGGATGAAAAATAAAAAGAAAATTAAAGTAGACGACATTTATTACCCAATATCCACGTGAATTTTGTTGTCTGTATACAAGGATCTACCGATTTTATCCAGAACGTGGCCTGATTTACGCGATCGAACGAAACACGACGATACAGGGTACATCTCATTGCCTTTTACGACTATTTATAACGACCGGATATTGCCTTAGAGCAGATTCCGTTCTGTAAAAATATACCTATATATCTACCCCCACTTCTCTCTCTCTTATTCCCTCAAGTATACAAATATATATATATATATTCACCTATAAAACGAAGTCTACGTTTCGTTAACCTCTTCAACAAAATCAATTTCAATTTGGAATCTTCATCTCGCGTATATACACACATACATTACTTACTTTTTTAAAAAAGAAACAACAAAACAAACGTATAAAATATCGCGAGATGAAATTATATAAAGAAAAGAAAAATCAAATAACACCTCTACCTATCCGATAACAATTTTCAAAAATTTCCCTCGCTGAACAAATACGCGCGCGTGTGTATATCTGTGTGTGTTATTACGAAGCAAGAATATTTACGAGCACGCGGGGGTGATTATCATCTTTCGGCGAGAATAAAAAAGTAAAGAAAATAAATGGAAAAAGAGAGACAACTCATATACACGCATACACGCAAGTATTTACATGCACGTAATAGATTTTAGAAGGGTTACATCAGGGCATAGAATAAACGTATCGCGTTACGTGCAAGCAAGCCAACGTTTGTTACAAGACCCAAAAACGAAACGAAACGGAAGAGAAGAAGAATGAAGAAGCGGATTCGTCGTAAAGGTTCGAGAATGGATACTGGCGTGGGCCTCTTGAAGGCCCTATTAACGAGTGACCCCCCGCGGCCGGCCACAGCGGGCCCAATCAGAACCGTGGCTGGCTCTCGATTCCGAGTCAGTCCTGTCGACTAACTTTCTCTCTCTCTCTCTCTCTCCAACTTGTTTTATGTAATGCCCGCGACGCCAAAATCAATTAGCCAAGGCACCCTCCTATTTTGCGTATGCATGTGCAACCAAACCTTTGCTATATGCATAGGTTGCTGTTGCTGCTGCTGCTGCTGACCACCGATTCCAAGCCGAAAACTTATTTGCAACCTGGCGCTCGGTCCAGTCAAGAGACAACCCCCTCCCTCACCCACCCCCTCCCTCAAAACCCTCCTGCTTCCTCTTTCCACCTACTTGCTCTGCCGATGCCGCGATCTTTCGATCGTTGGGGACCGGTAGACCAAGTATAACCGGTTTTTTCTTTCGTATACCGAGTTAGGCGAAAATTAAATGACTCTCTGAGACAAACGCGCGAATTTTTATTTCATTATTTCTTTTTTTTTATTTTTTATTTCTTGTCTTGTTTTGCTTTGTTTTCTTTTGTTTTTTGAAGTGAACATTTCTTTAGTATCGTTGCGATTTGAAACTCAATGAAAGTCAATCGATTAAACGGAAATGAGAAGACAAATATAAATATAATCGAATAATAAATTAAGATAATCATATAATTTTATCTTGTAGTAGTAGTAGTAATAGTATTGTAGTAGTAGTATGGAGAGAATCGTTGTTTTAAAAAAGTACGGAGTATTCAATTAGCGAGAGCATCATCCACCGGTACTTTAATGAGCTAAAGCCGAAGATATAAAAATGTTTTATGCCCCGCGAAAGTCGACACCGCGATGCCATCAATTAAGAGTTACCCAGAGGTAAAAAAAAAAAAAAAGAATAAAAAGAAGAACGTTCTGGGTATAATCAACATATTCAACGTGGCAAATGAGACGATTCTTAAATCGATAACGACGGGATAGCCAATTTTCAATTAGCCCTTTCTGACCTCGATGAAAGAAAACGAAAAAATTGAAAGAAGGAGTAGGAGGAGGAGGAGGTGGAGGTGGAGGAGGAAGAAATAAATAAATAAATAAATAAATAAAACAGAAGAAAAAAGAGAATTATCGGTGATATTTTCTTCTTTACCAAGTGCATTGATAGATTCGCGAAATAAAAAAAGAAAGAAAAGAATAGAAGAAGAAGGGGAAAGTAAGATTCAAGGGGGGTTTCCCCTTTTCCCTCTCATGGAAAGAAAACCGTCGAGAGATCTCTCACCAGGACCATGGGTTGGCTCAGCATGAACCCCATACATCAGAAAGAAAATGTTAACGGCATGGAAACATTTTACTTTCTTTCTTTTCTTTTCTTTTTTTTTTTCAATGGAATGAGAAAAGGGGAAAATCAAAAGAATTGGTTATTGGTGATGGTGGTGGTGATGGTGGTTGTGTATTCAACAAATTCAACGTAGTATCGCACATATCAACTGTAAAAAAGTAGAAGCATACGTCAAGCTTCTTTATATCGGTTCACGGATGGGGGGTCGACGTACATAACAATGTAGCAATTTGCTTGCTTTCGATACAAGATCTCTCACTTTGGGGTGTTGCTTTCTCGCTAACTCACACACACACACCCACCCTTGGCTTCCTACAAACTCGATTTTTTTTTCCTGCTTCCCTTTTGTATTCGTATTTGTGTGTGTGTGTGTGTTTGGATCAAACCTACATTGTGAAAAAAAAATCGAATACAATTTTTGTCTAATGTTTTTTTTTTTTAATCGTCCAAGAGAACATTATTTAATTATGAATTTTTTAATTAATGAATATAAGAGAGAGACAACAAAAATATATAAATGGAATGAAATATTCAACCCATTTTTGTGGTATATCTCATATATATAAATCGAATAAATTAAATTCCCAGACAAATTAATACGAACTCGTTGATTCCCATTAATAAGTTTACTTTTCTTTTTTTTTTTTTCTTTCTTTTGCCATGTTTATGAATAAGTATACAAATAACGTCAAACGTTGTATGTGCATTTTTGTTTTACATTTAACATGTACGTGGTAGAATGAACAAAAAGAAAAAAAGAATCTAAAGAAAAGTAAAAGAACCGGGGGGGGCAAGGGAGGAAGGGAGGGGGGGTTGTGTGTACCTGCGGCATCCTCCGTTTCAGGAATTCGACTTGATCTTATCTTTCTCGTAGTGGAGAACCGGCAGGACCCCCCCGCGAAGAGGATCTTTGATTTAGTGCGAGGGATAAAGGATAAAAAAAAGAGAACGTGGAACGACGACACGACGTTTAAAAGAAGGAGAGGGTGGGACCTGGTTGGCCATTGACTATCCTTTTTTGAAAAAAAAAAATTATGAAATAAAATACGAAACGTATGTGTGGTGCATTCTTCTAACTATACACGAATAGTTCACCAAGTTAAATGTCCACAATACACATAGATTATTTCAATATTTCAAATTGATGAGAAACATTGATATGGGATAAGAATCAAATGGAAATCATTTTTTCTCATAAACGAGTCGATCGAATCAACTAAAAAACTTAATAATACGCGAATATGCATCGAAATTCGGTAGTTACGAGTTGAGTCAACCCACGCTATTTCTTTCTGGTTACCCTTAAGTACGTAAACAAACGTATAAACAAGGAATACGAAATAACACTTCTATTTGTCAAGAATGCACATTCCTATTTCTTTCTTTCTTTCTTTCTTTCTTTATTTATTTCTCTAGTTTTAAAGGTTTCCGGATAAAATGTATCGAATTTCTCATGAATCCTATATTAATTAGTCACTCTTTCGTAAATTCGATAAAACACACCGCCTATGCTAATAAGCGACCTTCGGATACCAAGTAAACGCGTGCGCCTGCTCACGCGAAATATCTATAAATTCATACGCCGACAATTTCGGAGACGGAACATTCTTTCTCAACGAGTCATAAAACTTCGAAGATTCTTTAAGAAGACGCGAAGACAAAAAGAAGAAGAAAATAAATATATATAAAGAAAAAAAAAAAGAAATTAAATGATCTATACATCTTTCGAAGCAAATATTTTTCGCGCAGAAAAAAAAAGAATTCCCATGAAAGATCACGATCCTCAATCTCTCAAAAATTATTTTTATTCGAGATATTCAAACAGATGATCTCTCCTACCGACTTGACAAACACGATAACGTTAATGTACTTTTACAAATTTACGATTGCTCGGATTCATCGATGAAATAAAGGTCGAATTTAACAGCAATACACTTTAAGTGTTCTTCTTGATACAGGTTTTTTTTTTATTTTTTTGCAAATAATTCTTTTTCCCTAGATTATCAGACATGTTTATTGATTTATAAACCATATTTACCTCTTTCAGTGGTACTTTAAACGGCAAAATCTTTGTACCCTTGATCATTTCTCCATATGGTTTGTACTCCAACCATCTGTAATACCATACAAATCAAATGTTATAGGAATTATTTCATTCATTTATTTAGGTATGTTAATTTAAATGTTATTCAAACAGAAACGATAAGATAATCGATTAAATTTGTTGTTTATTACGCTTAAATGTATATCTAAAAAAAATGTTGATTTTAGAATTGTTTAATTTTATGATTTAAGCCAATTTTATATCCTCGTGAAATTATTATTAATAAAAATCTCATAGTTCTGAACGAATTTCCAAAATTTTTATTCCAAACAATCTTTACAATCGTAATTATTTCTTAATGTTAATTTTTTCATTTTAAATATAATAAATACATTCTTTTGCTATTAATATAATAACAATTGTGTTTTTTAAAAAGGAAATAATATTTTTTTATTAATATCGATAAAGTATCATTCGATTTAATGTAAACAATTTTACTTTTCTTTTTATTTTATTTTTTTTATTCAGCGATCGAAGCGCCTCGCAACGTAAGATTGTCGAACTATTAACTCGAATTAAATCGATCATTTAAATCGATTCTCTCGATTATTCTAAAACATTTATTAACGTAAATCCTAATGAAAATTTATTCAAACATTAAATATTTTCTTATACATTTAAATAAAATAAATAAAAATAATCGAATTGCAATGAAAAAATATGAGAAATAAATTTGTGCATTTTCATCGGTCGATAATACAGTTAATTATCATGTATATGTGTCGCATCTAGTAACAATACACACTTCCCCCATTCGATAATACATTCAGAAAAAAAAAAAAAAGAAAAAGAAGACATTTGAATGATTACAGGATAATAATGAAATATATCAAATTATACATTTAAATATATGAATAACAAGATAATGTTATGCGCGTGCATCGGATGCACCGCATTGCAGAACGTAGCGTCACGACATAACCTAAAAAACAATGTGACCTCCATTTCGTTGGCGTAAACAAGCACTTGTAGCTATACTAGACTTTATTTAAGAACAAATATATAAAGAAAAATAATGAAATACTCACCCGTCGGGCACAGATCTTCTCATAATTGCTAATATATTAAATATTTCTTGATTTTAATTACCAAAAGCACTACACCGAAACGTAATATCAGAAAAGTACAGCACATGCACGCAGCAGACAAACGCACTTCATAGACGGTCACGACGCAGAACGATCGATCGATCTCTCGATTTTCGCGCGCAACAGCTTCACTCGCCAAAGCATTATTGGTCAATTCTTTTATGTAAAGTATTATCGAACGATAACGCAGAAATGTAATATTTACATATTCTTACGTATTAATCATTCCGATAAAAAAAGAAAAAAAAAAAAGAATTGACGAACGAATTTACTATTTATAAATATAGTACATCTACTGTATCGCTACTTTTTCAATATTAACCTTATGCATACATTCATAAATATATTACATTAAATCAAATTTTTCTCTGCTTCTTTTCTTGTTTTGTTTTGTTTTTCTTTTCCTCCTGACAAATAATAATAATTTCTACAGACATTATATAATATATTAATATTAATATAAAAATATCTTTCGTTATCTATTTTTTCTTATCGTTAATAAAGTATATTAGTTGTTATAAAATAATATTGAGAATTCTTTTTGGAGATTTTGTTTGTTTGCCAATGTATACCTATAACATTCTTTAATTTGAAATGCAAAATTTTCATTAGTGTAATTTTGCATACTCACCCCGGAAAACTTACATGATATTTATATATATATATATATATATATTATATTGTCGCAAAAGCAGATATTTAATCTTCGCAATAAATATTTGAAGAAGCTAAAAAATACTCTCTTAATTTTTAGACAAGATCACAGGGACAAGGATAATTAAGATAATCATTTTTATTAACTTGTCGGGCACTGTACTTCTCCGTCGTTTGTTGCTTTCAATGATAGAATTTCTTTTAATATTTGTTTTTCCAAGTCCAATAATGCGGGTGGTTTCTTATACTAAAAATATTAAAACTTATTTTCTAATTAACTATTTTTTTTAAAATGTTGAGCTAAGATATATCATACCGTGATAATAAGAGTGTTGTATTGATGAGTATACGTAATTCTATCTTGTTCAGGTTTCAAATGAATACGTTCTAAATCTGGAACTTTGAGTTTCTTAAAATATTTTTTGTTGCTCGTACGTATAGTAATAGTATCATCTTTTTCCACTGTTACTGAATAAACAGATATTGGATAAGGTAAATTCCTTATTCTCCATTCCAAAGCAGTTCTCGTAATTCTTCTAGTAATGAATGGCTGAAAATATATTTCTATTAGTTATTTTAATTTATTTGATACAATATACACTTTACAGTCCAAACATGAGAACAAGAGTCCTACTCAACGTGAATATTACAAGCCAAACATAGGAAGCAATTATTTTATTAAAGGATACAACATGCAACATGCTTACACATAAGATATATAATAATATAAATATAATTCTTAAAACGAATAATAAAATGTACATACAGTGCTTGAACTTTCCTGTATCCCAAAAGTTTCTATATTATTCAGTTTAGGTTCTGGATCACCTACTTCCACAATCCAACCAGCAGTTTCAGTAAAATATTTTTTTTCTTTCCATGCCCTGCGTACTAATACATTTGTATTCATATTATATTCTTCAACCATTTCTTTCCCATCTTCCATTAGAAAATGAACTTTTCTATTTCCTATTTAATTATAAAGTATAAATGTAAAACAAATAAAAAATCGTTGTAATCTTAAAGGAATACTCTTTACAACCACCATGCTTTTTAAAGATAAATTATGTAATATAAAACACGTGAGAATTATTAATTTTTAATATATCAACGACTATCATTTGTAAATAAGATTTCTAATCATGATTAGCAAACTTTAATATAGAAAATTAATATTAATATTATAAATTATATATAAATAGCTTGTGTGACTATATAATAGTTGATTATTGATCAAACATTTTTTAGGTTATACTATTACTTTAATACGTGAAACTACAAAATAATGTCGAAAATAAATCATAAAAATAAAAGTAAAGATTCTCAATAAGGATACCGATAAAACATTAATACAAACAAAAATTATCTTACCATTCTGTATGATTGCGGTCTTTTTAGCATTTTGAATGCGTTTTAACCATGACTTAGTCGCCATTAGTAAATAAGCTATATACCACGAACGTGCTATATGAAAGATAGAATTGCAATGGAGATTTTTCTCCACTTCCAGTTGTAGATCCCAATCTTACCGACTGTTTACTTTACGCGATATTACCGACAGTAAAAAATTTTCAAACAATAATGCAAACAATTATGGATTTTAAATGTGCAATTAGTGAGCAATTAAGAGCATATATTTATTTGTTTTTGCGGTGAAAATTTTTTACTGTCGGTAATTCTGATGGTAACTTACCATCAGATCTCGGTCGGTAAGGTAAAGGTAGAGCACTACTATTACCAAAATCGCCGTAGCCATGTTACTAGAATTTCAATATATTTGAAACTTTCTTATTTCCTAGTAACTTTTAATAACTAGCAGTGTACACAAAGTGAATGTGTAATTAAATTCTATATATATCATATTATATGATCAGAATAAAATTGCATCTTTGATGTCGCGACAATTACATATAAATATATGTATATTTAAAAAAGGTCTCTCTTTTTGATGTAAGCATACAAACTATTGTGGTACTTTCCCCAGTGATTTATTCAATTTATTTATACAATATAGAAATTTAATGACAGATGGAGATCTTGAATGTATTTATGCGATTCCGTACAAATCAGGTTTATTTATACAATAGCAAAGCAGAGTTTTTGTTGTGTATATAATGTTAATAAGAATTTCAATGGTAAAATTCTCTGCTTGCATAGTACGGTACAGCAAAAGGCATCCTACACCCAGTAGTATGAATATAATCGTGCATGTAAATGTTAATAAAGGACTGATTATTATTAATTACTATTATAATAATTATTATTATTACTATTATATAGTTATTATTATTATTATCATTATTATTATTATATTATTATTATATTATTATTATAATATTATTATATTATTACTATTATTATTCTTATTGTTATTCTTATTATTATTATTAATTATCGACATAAACTTTTTGTTTTCGTTTGTTGTTTAATGTTACAATATATAATATATGTTCAAATATTACTTTTCTTGTATATATGTATTTATATATACAAGCAAGCATATAGATAAATACATATATATGTCTTACTTAATATTTATAGTATTTATAGAAAATTATACTAACTACATCAATATATACATAAAAAGGCAAATGTGAAATACTCGAACATTTTTCACCCCTTATTTTATAAAAATATTTGTATTTATTGTTTGTTCGTATTTTTTTTTTTTTTTTTTTTTAATGAATACTCAATATTGTAGCAGTACAGCTTCATTATATCGTCTTTGATGTACTCACAAAATTGTATCATTTCTTAAATCGTATATAGCTTCTTATATATTACGCATATTATCTGAACAGTTTAAAAACATTTTTCAAAGCGACATTATTATGTATGAAAAATCAATGCATTTTACAGACCAAATTTAGGATAACTTTGCAATACTTGAGTAATGTCCCTCAATCATTTGCCTTTTATCACCCAATATTTTGCTTACTTTATTCTCATTTAAATGCACACAGATATTACTTTGCATTAGAATTATTCTTCAAAGCAGAGTAGAATCCTCGAATGGAGCATATAATCTTGACTTAAAACAATTTTTATTCTATAGTCCACATGTATTATTCGCATAATTACTTAATTATATCTTTTTTTTTTAATAAGAAACAAAACAAAAATTACTTTTTATTAATAATTTACGTATATCTGATATAAATCGTGCGAATAACGCATAGGATTTTGGCCTTTTAATGCATTTTAAATTGCAGTCATAAAATTGATGACTCACATTAACTAATCCACATTTCGATGAAATTGTTATATTCCTTGATAATACAATTGCATCGAAATGTTTATAATAAACCTTTGCTTTTTATGGACAAAGGAATAAAAAGACAATATAATCACTATCATATTGTGAAAGAAGTACAACAGTGCGTACTTGCACTTGGTAAAGTTAACTAATGTATGTATCCTAAGCATAAAGCAGGAAGAATAGTACTGGAATAAGAGATCAATTGCGTATCAATTAGATCGTGGTAATTCTCATTTATATAATTTACACGAAATAGTTGAGCATTTTCGCAAACTCGCATCAATAATAATAAAATGAAGTCAAAAAGTAATCATCGTTATTAAGTCTGTCGTCCGTTGTGCAAGAAGTTCATTTAACTTTTATTTTTCTGGTTCTTAGGACACTTTACCATCGTGCTTGTGTTTTATTCGTTTTGTAACAATATGCAAATCCAGGGTGATAATTTAGCATACAAAGTTATGGAGGTAGTTGAGAAGTGAACACGTAAACCTCTTTCGTAAACGACCATACTGATGACAATAAAAAAAAAAA